GTTCTCGCTTTTGCTCATTTTACCGGTACCGTCGAGGCTGGGCACTTTTATGAGTTGATCGCTGTAATTAAAAGCTACGGGTTCAGGAAAAACATTGCCGTATCGGTAATTGAAACGATTTACAAAATTACGCGCCATTTCCAGGTGCTGCTCCTGGTCTTTACCTACGGGCACTAATGAGGCACGATGAAGAAGAATATCTGCAGCCTGCAAAACCGGGTATGTAAGCAAGCCTGCGTTTACATTTTCAGGCTGCTGGCGCACTTTATCTTTAAATGTAACTGTTTTTTCCAGCTCGCCCTGGTAAGCAAGCATATTCAGGTACAGGTACAGTTCTGAGGTTTCGTAGATATGACTTTGGCAATACAAAACAGCTTTTTCCGGGTCTAAACCGCAAGCTATATTTTCTGCCAGCACTCTGAGCACATTTGATTTCAGATCTTTGGTGTCAGGATGTGTAGTTAGTGAATGCAAATCTGCAACCATAAAAAAGCATTGAAACTCATCCTGCATGCGCACGTAATTGCGAACGGCGCCAAAGTAGTTGCCAAGGTGCAAAAATCCGGTGGGCCGTATGCCACTCATTACAATTGGTTTATTTTCTTGCATAGACACGGCGAAGGTAAGCATTGATAAAGAGTTATCCGATGTGCATTCCCAGTTTTGGCTGTGCCGGAAAAGAAACATTTTGACAGAGAAATTCTTTTTCGGAATTTTTCTGACGACAATACAAAATTTGTATTTTTCGATTTCTTAGAAAAATTATTATGAAATAAAATTCAATTTGGAAAAGAATAAATCAAGCATTTTTTTCCTGAAATTGGATCAGCGATAAAATGTAAAATCTAATGAAGTTTTATAAGTATTGATATTAACCTACTCGTTTTCCTACAATCTTTAAACTTCTTTCGACTCCGTCGAGCAAAGCTACGTTTGGAAAATGAGCCCATTCTTCAAAACCAAAATGCTTAAACAGCCTGAGACTTGGTTCGTTATGGGCAAATATAAAACCAAGCAATGTTTTAATTTCGAATAGGGGAGAAGATTCGATGCAATGCTGAAGAACCTGTGTGCCTAAGCCTTTTCCTCTTTGCAATGGATCGAGATAAATACTTATTTCAACCGTTGCATCATAAGCCGGCCTTCCGTAGAAAGATTGAAAGCTTGCCCAGCCGACTGTGGAATAGTGCTGATCTTCTATCATCCATAAAGGTCTTTTTTGGGCGAATGTTCGTTAAACCAATGGAACCTGCTTTCTAATGTTACGGGTTCGGTATCGGCAGTAACCATTCTTGATGCAATTGTTGAATTATAAATCTCAACGATTTTTGGCAAATCATCTAATGTTGCATTTCGAAATAGCAGAGTTTGCATCCCATTGCTTTGAAGTAAAAATAATTGATAATG